GTTCATCTCAATTTCCCTCCTCGACTCCTCTCTCCCGTACTTGACCCGGAAATCTAATCTGTCCTAGCATCTCTTCCTAGTGTCTCTCACTCGCGTCTTACGGAGGCGGAGCTAAGACGCAAGGAAGGGACGCGAGTGAGGGAAAGAGGAGGCTAAATAATTAATTGAGATGAGCCTATTGTCTTTTGTCGTACCTCACCCACGTTTTTATGTACAACCTTTGGACTCTGTACACTCTTATGCGTGTGTGGGTGATAGCGAAACTATTATTATGCACTAAGAACTAAAAAAACGATGAGGGTGTTTAAGGGAAGAAGGAGACAGGCTGCTTGAAAACAATACACTTTAAAATCTTCCTCACCTAAGAAATACCACATCCCCAAGAATGGTGAGGCGACCAGCTGGTCCACCAGAACCTTCTTGCCAACAGTTTTCAGAGCTCTACCCACGAACGCTCTGTCCAGAAAGATGTACCAGTAATGCAGCATGGGACCCATGGAGCAGCCCACCGTAAACATGCATCCTTTGGGAAAAGAGAGTCATGGGAATAGCAATAATTAACAGGGAATGAAACAGTTTAAAAAATGTAACACATTGCAAAAATATTCTCCAAAATGCCTTTGTTTTATATTTTAAAGACATGGATACTTCACTCCAAAAATGACCATTTGTATATCAGTTACTTACACAATGTTACCTTGAATTTAAGTAGACGGAGGCTGTGTTTAACAACAGCTTTTAGCCCATGCTTTTAGTGTTGCTGTTGTCAAAAAAACAGTCCCCCGTTTACTTTAATATATAAATAATAACCTCAGTTTTTAGATTCTACATTCATCATTGTGGAATTTCTTTTTTCTTCACAAATTCCCCGTCATTAAGGGTGAGTTATTGATATACAAATGATCATGTCGTGGATTAAGTATAGTTTATAGATATTGAGATTTGATTATACTGCTTGAGGGAGCTCCCCTTGTCTCTGTCTCACCTGTCCTCTTCCAGTCTCGGACTCGACCAGGCTTCTTAAAGTTCTCCCAGCTTTGCATCGCAATGTCTCCGAGCCCCAATATTACTCCTCCGCTCAGGGTGTTTGTTAACAGGAGGGTTCGGCCCTCAAAAAAAGGCCGCCAGTTGAACCGCATTCGGACCACAAACTCTTTACCCACTCGGGGAAGCATGATGTCTGGACTGCAAAGAGAGTAATCAATCATTTTATGAAATAATAAGCATTCAAGTAGCCTATAATAAAAAAAGTATTAAACACAGAACAATGTCACCTGTGACTATTATACTGTTTATATACAGTGGGGCAAAAAAGTATTTGGTCAGCCACCAATTGTGCAAGTTCTCTCACTTAAAAAGATGAGAGAGGCCTGTAATTTTCATCCTATGTATACCTCAACTATGAGAGACAAAATGAGAAAAAAAAAAAAAATGAAAATCACATTGTCTGATTTTTAAAGAATTTATTTGCAAATTATGGTGGAAAATAAGTATTTGGTCACCTACAAACAAACAAGATTTCTGGCTCTCACAGACCTGTAACTTCTTCTTTAAGAGCCTCCTCTGTCCTCCACTTGTTAACTGTATTAATCATGGCACCTGTTTGAACTCGTTGTCAGTATAATATTATATAGTATAATAATACTATACATCCATTCGGTCCTGTCACACGCCCACACTACGCCATCACAACAAAAAACACGTGAATCTGACCAATCTCCTTCCACTCCCCCGGTCCACACAACCCCCCCCAAATGCAACGTCACCTCAGAGCAGCCCTGCTCAACACACGCTCCATCCACAATAAAAGCCACATTCTGAATTAATTAATTAAAGACAATAACCTGGACTTTCTGTATCTGACCGAAACATG